AGAGAGAGAGAGAGAGAGAGAGAGAGAGAGAGAGAGAGAGAGAGAGAGAGAGAGAGAGAGAGAGAGAGAGAGAGAGAGAGAGAGGGAGGGAGAGATTAACTTGGATGTTAAGGGCCTGGCTCAGCGTGGGTGGTTGGAATGTCGTCAAGCCTACATATGTACTTGCGAGTGCTTTACAGCTGTACTTGGCAGTGCTTGAAGTAGTTCAAGATACCATATAAAAGCCAATGCTATATATGTGCACAACTGCGAAGGGGAGCAGCTGTTCTCTGACAATTTTAAATTGTTTGTAGCAACTTTTTTGAGTTTTTACGCATGAGAGGAGCTGCAGATGTTATGTGACTGATTGAAACGAAGTCCACATCGAACCCACACCTTCACATACACGCATGCAATTGTGAAACAGGCTTGGAGAGAGATAACCCACTGCAAACCAATACGCAGCAGAAGTTGCAAAACCAAAAGAGAATTGAATTGAGATCGATTCTGAGTTCTCCTTGAGTACCGTCTCTCCCCAATTCACAAGCAACCCATATCCCAACAAGAATCATAACCACGGTACGACAGCCACCAGCAAATCGAAAACAAAAGTTCATCGAATATCAGTGGTCTTCGTCGTCCTCCTTTCTCCACTTTCTGGCCCTGGCTATTGCGGTTCTACCCAGCACCAGCACGCAACCTACACTGCCAGCTGATCGCCACACAGCCCTTCTATGTCCAACAATCCGCCCACACCATTCATAACCCCGATTGCAAATGAAGTGTCCACTCAGCAGGGGAGCGCAGTTCCCAGGATAAAGACGAAGAACTCGGGAACCAACTGCTGCTCCTCCTGATACAGAGTCAAACCCCGACAGCACAGATGGGGAGGTCATGTGCAGCGCTCAAGGCCCGTGCCTGGCGCTGCTCTCTTACCAGCCCACTCAGCTCCAGCTACGGCCGACAAGCCAGGAAGGAGGAGAAGACCTGCGCGCTCAGCAAAATTAGCAGAGCAGACAATAGTGTGGGACTCTCCCAACTTCCGAAACCAAACAACTGGAAACGAACCTGACCGAAATCGACCTCCACCTATTTCTAGCCTACGGGACCAGGGCTGATGAATTTCGGTCACTTTATGACCTAGACTGCCAGCTGATCGCCACACAACCTTCCTAAGTCCAACAATCGACCCGCACCATTCAAAACCAAACAACTGGAAAAGAACCTGACCGAAATTGGCGTCGATCACCTATTTCTCGCCCTAAGACCCGACGAACAGACCAGGACCTACATGACTAAGGGGGGGGCAGCCAGTAGAAAAGGAAACTGGGCCTCCCTGAAGAACCCTGCAGGACCCTAATCTTACCACCTAGGAACAGACACGGACCTAACGAGACCATTTTTTTTGGGATGTCGGGCCGGGGACCAAAATCAGTGTATTTGCGAGGGACAGGGTCAGTTCGGGCACAGAAAAGGGCCTGAAATATCCCCAGCGGGAGAAACTGCAGATTTGTTGCACAGATGTATGCAGCTCCATGATCGTCATGTATGTGCGATGGTGTGGAGCAGATCGCACATTGAAGAGGGAGTTTTTTGACATTGTATGGCGTGCATCGCAAATGGAAGATATAGGTGGATGACCGCTAGCAAACCAAATCATTAAAAAAAAAAAAAAAAAAAAAAATCATTAGGGACAATTGTCATCCATATCATTATTCAAGGAAAATGAGCAATGCGAACGAGTGAACATCATCCCATAGAAAACCAGATAGTCATGTGTCCGAAACCGAAAGCAGATTGCACCAGAAATACAGCAAACAAAAGCAAAGCGATGAAGTCAAATGACAATGTAAGCCCGCTTCTCACCACCAATGCCCACCATCATCAATGTCTCCGATGTCACTCCCCTACATGGCGCTCCGTGCCCAGACTACGAACAGCCGACACCTAGACTCCTAGCCTCTAACAATGTCATCCGGTTGACTTCAGCAAGTTCCAACGTGAAGATTCCACGTAGTTGGCCACTTTTTCTAACACTAAGTACTTGCGCTCATACATCGCCCGCCGTCCCTGCCTTGTCCCCACAGGCTCTTCGTCACCGCCCATGGACCACCACCATGCCCCACGGGCTTGCTTTGTGGACAGCCCGGCTATGGCCGCCGCACAGGGTAGCTGCACCCAGCAGCTCCCCAGCGCCTGTGCATGCCCGCCTTCCAGCCAGCTGTCTCACCAACGTGCATTCGAGCTGCGCTGCCACATGAGAGCCAGACAGAACGAATGAAAGTGAGTGAGCCTCACTTTCCTCTATGCTGTCTGGCTTGCGTGTAGCCTGCCTGGCCTGGCTGCACGCTGTCCCAGTATCTGTGCCCCAGGGCCCTTCCAGCATGTGCCTGGGGCTCAACTGTTTTTTTTTTTTTTTTTTTGTAAGTGTCCTTGGCCTCAGAATCTGACGTGTCCGGAGCATTTTCAACTACTGGGTCGAACCCATTAGCTGAAGATGCTTCTTTGCAGGAAACCATCTCGTGGGGGCCTCTGTTCTCAGACTTGTCAAAAATAGGCCAAAATGAAAATGCTCGCCCGCCGTCACTTAGGTGGGCACTTAGTGGCCTTCCCGGTATTGCTGAGGGCCTGATATTAGTGGGGGGGGTTGGGGGGAGTGGAAAGCTGTTATCTATATTATTAGTGGATGAATGACAGAATTGGACGAAACGAATGAAAGCAGGGTGTCCCTCATCCCTCTCTTTTGCCTTTTCTTTTTCTTTGTTAAGGATTCCTTATGTTTGCGTGTACTGCATTGATGTCTGTTTGTGTGTGTGTGTGCGCGTGTGTGCAGGTGTGCGTGTGTGTGCTTGATACTTTTATGTATGTGTTTGTATGTTTGTGGAAGTGTGTGAGGGGGGGGGGTGGGGGGGGGCGGTTGCGAATATATGTGTGTTCTTTTTCCGTTCTGTTTTTTATGTGGTCATGTGGTGAATGGCGACCTTTCCTTTAGGGGACGGACCCGAGATACTGTGACAAGCAAGGCATGACTCTTCTCCATGTGGTGAGCAGTTAAACCCGGTCTCAAAATCCAATTGGAGTTTAATTCTGAGTGGGGATCCGGGCCGCCCGGGTGACCGGCAGGGGCCCGGGGGAGGTCCCGGGCAGCCTGGCCGGGCAGGGCACCCGGTTGGGGGCCGGGCCCCC